CAAAGAGTGTGAGTTCAATATGGAAACTAGAACAGTCTATCCCAGTGAGCGAAATAAAGGGTTCAGTTCAACATTCCATCCACCTGAAGAAGGCCGGAGCGTACAACGGCTGAAACATTGTAATAAATATGGCGACAAAGATGAAGATAATAGTCCGAATAATGTAAATAATATATATATATATATATATAAAGCAAGTAAACAATATATGCAAGGCAAATTAACAGTAATAAGGCAAGGCAACAGTAACATGGCAAAAAGTTCACAAACTAAGAATTGTGATTGACATACAGAGGAAATTTGGATAAACTAATGTAGTATTCTGAATTCAAGACAAGACAAACCAGGACTCTGTCATATGAAACCGAGAACTGGCCTATTTTATTGACTAGGAAGAAATCCCAGCATGCATTTCTATGCTTCTGCCTATAAATTGTGGAGGAGAAAGTGTTTTGCAGTCATTCCCTAAAAAATTGGAACCAACAAATTATAAATGGTTTCCAGTAAGATTTGTACTAAGCACTATATATAATCATGGACATTGTAATTTTTTCTATTTTTCTTTGTCTATAACATTAGTCATAGCCATTGTCAAGTAATTATTAGCAAACTGATCTCATTACTTAGTGATAATAAAAAAATCCATTCATAATGTTCAGTGCCACTCAAAACAAGTGTTATGTTACTATAACAACATTTAAAGAAATTGTTGGCTTACAGCCATATTGCGTTCAAACATTGATTCCCATATGATCACTGAAGTTAAGCAACATTGAGCCTGGTAACCACTTGGGAACACCAAGTGCTGTAAGATTGGATGTATGGGTGGTGTAATGGATTATAGCTTGGAATGGATAATCAGAGAGCTGAGTTCCAATTCCCATTGGGTTTGTTATATTCACTTTTACACAAATACCCTTGAGAAAGTATGAATCCACCTCTTCTCCTCCTAGCTATGGGTTAATTAGTAAGATTTGTATCACTAAAAAAACATTATTATCTAAAAAAATATAATTTTGTTTTATTATCTAAAAATATTTTCTGGCATTAAATAACATGCAAAAAATGAATGAATCAATCAAGAAATTGTAAAATTCCATTGTTATTTTTATGCATGGTATGTACACTGTTGTACAAAACAAAAGAAAAAATTAAAATGATATATATGTAAGCATTAAATGATATTAATATAAGTATGTTTAGTCTTTTATCTAAAAATAATCTCAGAGATATTCATTTGTGTTCAGGATTTTTGTTTTGATAGGTAATAATTAGTAAATATTTGATAGAAATCCCTCACTAAACAAAATCAAGTAGTTCTCCCAAAGATCTTTGACAATGGTGAGAAGCAGAAATGTTGAATTTGAAAGTATGGAAAATAGAATACGGTATGTTGTCTGGCAAATCTTACATTCTGATTGGACAATATCAAGAAAAAAAAACCCTTGAATATGGTCTTTTGTGCATTTTGATTTTCATAGAAGAAAGAAGCACAAAAGTCAACTAAGTATTATGTTTGCAGAGAAGAAGCTATATTGTTATTGGAGCCATCTTGTTTTGAGAGCAGCCATTTGCAGTTGAGAGAATTTTTTATCTTCTTTTAGTATATATTTGTATTGATATCAATAGAATATCAACTGAACAATAAGAGAACAACACTTTGACAGTAATGGGGAAAATTGTTTCCTTGTGACAACAAAAAATGATGAAATATTTAATATCATCATTAATAATAACAACTGCTTTATACTTATAAAATATCAAAAAATATAAATTTCCCTGAATTTGTTGGTTGAGACTTTCTTAATATTAAACAAAACCAAAAGCAAAGTTTATATAGCAATTAATCCTCCACTTTGTTTCCATTATATAAATGAAGACCATTATTAAACCAGTTTTTAATAGAAACATTTATTTAAACATCTCTTCAGCAGTTTATTTATGTACAAAGTCAATCAGAATTTAAGAGTTCACTTAAAACAATACTCATTATGTAAAAATGAAAGGTTATTTTTTATTTATTTGTTTTTTTGGATCGAGTTCACTCCAAGCAAGGCGCTAAAGCCACCAAGATACAAAGGGTTACTGGACATGGAAGAGTTAGAAACAGGAACTATTGCTAAAGAGCGAGAACAAAGGAAGAGTAATCAGAAGGACAGTATATAGCGATTGACATTGCATTTAAATTTTTACAGATTAAAGTTGACTGGAAAGTATGGAGCCAGAAAGAAGTTCAACAAGAAAAAAACTGTTCACATAAGATTTATGGTTGCATCAAGCCAGCTCAACTGTAAATTGGTGAGTTTAGTGCTGCACTTAAATTCAAAGAGTCAAGGCACCATGGTGAAGAGCTCATCCGAACAATTACCATAAAAGCATTTATAGAAGGCAAAGGGAGGCAACCTTATGGTGGTGGGAAAATGACTGCAGCAAAGCTGTCTGATCAGGACCAATAATATTGCTGATTCTTCAATGGATTCTTCAAGGAGCTCTAGATAGATAGTAGGAGCACATATAAATTGGGTTAACATTATTTTTCAAGAAGGATTGTAAATTATTTAGGGCTAAGTTTAAGGTTACATCTAAGAAATCCACTTGTTTTATGTTAGAATTAATTTTAACCTTCAGGTGTAAAGATTTAAACACTTGTGAATCAATTTCCTCAACTTGTCAACTTTGCTTCCGGTAGAATTATTTACTACCATCAGGTCATCGTCTCTATAAATCCCTATATTATTTAAACTAATTTCATTATCTGCAGTGAGATTGTACAATAGTCTGACCAAGTCTGATTACTCAGCAGAATCCAGTGATCCCATTGATAGATCAAAGTTTTCATCCAATTTCTTTATCCATTGTTCGTTGTTATGGATTATAATTGATTTTCTGCAATTTAGGATGATGTCAATTTCACCTTTAGAGATATTGAAGTAAAACTCAGCAAACTCCAAAGCCATTTTGAAAAGGCTTTGAATATGGATGGATAGAAGTCCATGATGTCAAATTGGATGAAAGTACTGTTGTTTTTGTTATTGAGGCCTTTAAAACAATCAATCACTTCTGTAGTGTTGACCCATTGGATGAGGCCAAGCTGGCTCTTAATCTGTTTGTTTACATGTTCCTGGATCATTTTGCTGATTCTCTTGATTTCAGATTTGGTTGGATTGATAATCCTTGGATGTAGTTTGCTTAGGAAATTAAGTTTATGGTCTTTGAGTAGAATATAGGCTTTCCTAGTTGAAAGTTTGGGCACCCTATCACATATTTTCAACTTATCGGTAATCTTCTTGTCTGATGAGTTGATGATGTTTACATAGTTATAATTATCTGTATCAACCTTCTTATAACTTTTCATTAAATCCTTTTTAATCAAGGTATTGTAATCTTTTGGATTGAGTTTATAAAAGTTTGCAGTCTTATCCGACTTTACAAATATTTGGTTTGAGCGGTTGATTTGTCAGACCACTGTATCTAAGCATTTTTGAAAGTTGTTCTTGCTTTTGTGGAAGCTAATATTATTTAGGATATCAAAAAGATCCATTTTAAATTTTTGTAGTTGGTCAATGAGAGGTGCTTTTTTAAAATTTTAAAATCCATATGTATCCATCTTTTTGGAAATTTCTTGTTTTTTCTAGTCGTTAAGAAGTAAGCTTTCCATCTCATTCTCCTGATTAAGTCTTCAGTTTTTGTGACTAGATTTTGAAGGTACTCCAGTTTGCTTGGGATGGGAATATTCTTCAGTGAAATGCCGAAATTGATTTTGTCCATGTTTTTAGAGTTTGAATTGTTAGCAACAGTGCTCAACATTAATAGGAGCAGAATATCCAAATGTCAAACAAATGAAAAAAAGGAAGTGATGTTTCATATGCAGCTTGCTTACAAACAGAATTGTTCATAACCATTTTGGTTCTTACCAGTCGAAGTGCAATTAAATGCACTGAAACAAAGTTGCATCATTGTAGTGAGTAAATTGTTTTTGTCTATATGAAAAAATTATAATAAATAATTATTGCTCTACAATCGGTATTGAGCCCTGTTTTGAATTAATACTGTGAATGTTAGAATTTATATATTATTTTTGTTCTCATTACATTCGGATATATATATATATATATATATATGTGTATGTGGGAGGGGGGTAAGAATTCACACTAGTTTGACTAAATTATTCAGCTAACAATGTTTTTTTTATATTTTTTTACACTCATGTATAAATTGTTATGCATCTGGATCACAGTTGTAGAGAAAAAGTAAAGTAAAAGTTCAAGATATTTGACCATAAAACAAATTCCTTAGCATAATACATACATTTTTATTTTATAACAATGTTTTTTTTATATTTTTTGCACTTATGTATAAATTGTTTGTGTGCACTAAAATTTTGGGTAGTGTAATATATATTTATTCTTGCTAAAAATTCATGTATAATATAGGATTCAAATTAAATATGAATTCCTTGACAGAATTTTTTTTTTTTTTTTGTAAATCTTTGTAAACATGGCCAGAACATTTACAAAAAGTGAATATTCTTAGACCTACTATTTTATATGATCACCAACACAATTTTAGTCCTGTATGAAAAAAATGAAGATAGCGTCCAATATTTTGTCATTTATAAGTCAACTGAATTGTGTTCCATAAATACTAATTAATTTTTTGAAAATCATATCGAAAGAAAAAACATGAAAAGTTGGAACAATGCAAAGAGTCTGTTTATCTCTGTACTGGTATCAGTGGGTAAGTGTGCTTTGGATTCCAGACTTTTTGAGAAAAAGAAAAAGTTTTCCTTTCAGATCAATTTTCTCAGGCCAATTTTATTTTCAGTGATTGTGAAGGTAATCTGCCTTCAGACATTTTTACTTATCAGGCAGACAATATTAAACCTTTATACTTTTATCAGACAGCAATCTCATTACATGCTTATGAACAGTATACAAAAACATTTTAACAGACACCCTCCCACTGCCCATTAGTAATAAGCTGACATTAAGGTGAAACTCTTATTCACCCTGAGTGTCTGAGGTGGTATAGAATGATTTCCATTGTTCAACATCAATTGCTTGCCATCCCATGTCATCACCACCTTACCAAAAAAACAAAAAAAAAAACAAATTGTGTTTCTAAATGAATAAAAGCTGAGCAAATAAATTTGGCTTAAATTATTGTTTGTTGGAATTCTGGTTTATTACACAGAAAATTATTTATATAAGTATCCTCATCTTTGTTATTTTGATGACTATTTTCCAGGTGATGGCCTCTCTAGCTTTCTTATAGCTTCATCATATACAAGGCTATATATTTATATTTATAGTATGCTTAGTAAATATCATGATCATGATTCCTGTAACTTAATAGCGTCATAGGGGCACAGCACATTTACTGTAGCAGCAGCATTAGTGTTTTCTGGCCAAGACAGCCCAAGCCTCTCTAGGCTGGTTTGAATTCACAGTCTTCTTTCTCCTAGACTAGTCACCAACCAAGACTAAAGAACCCAGTCTCTCCTGCTATTTACCCATAGCTGGTAAGAAACAAGATGAATTCATTCATTTTCCAAGGATATTAGCATATAAGTGAATGTAATAAACTCAACTGAAATTGGAACTTGGTTCTCTCCAATTCTTCAATCAGAGTAATTACACCACTGCACCCCTTATAAATAGTAAATATCAAAGCCAGTTAAAATCAAAATAGAAGCAGATAAGTAAATCCTTTCAGGTGTTGTTTGGTGAAAGATTGAATCTTTTTCTTTGTTGTTTTGATTGTGTTTTGTCTTGTAAGCTAATCAGGTTTCTTACTGTTGATCAAACGTCTGAGATGAATTATTGCTGTTTTCTTAGGAAGGATTTGAACTTACACTCTAAAATCCTCTTTATTCTACATGATGAATGATTGCCATTCATAAAAAGATCAATGCAAGAAATGCTTGCATTAGGTTTTCAGAATGTTTCTTTATAAAGTTATATATATGTGTGTGTGTGTATATATATGTATGTATGTATGCATATGTATGTGTATATGTATATATATTTCATACATACATATATATATATATATATATATTTTTATATATGTATGTATGTATATATATATACCCTTGTGCAAATTAATTGACACAACTGCTTTAGTTTCCTTTTTTTTCAACATACTGTCACTTTTAGATCCACTGTAGTGACATGGTGTAATAGATTTCTATTTTTTCCTGAGATTTGGTCATTGTGTGCAGTAACATGAATCTATTTTTGGGATGTATGATGAAATTTTTTTGGCCTGAAAAATATTGCCTAAATCATGATTGCATCAGATTTTTTTATCATGGCCAGACACTATTGTCTCGGCTGTCGATTTGTTGCCCTATAGACATTTCTCCAAGGAAGCGTATGAAAATTGTAATACTGCATGACCATACAGGAAAGCCTTACCAGTGATCAAATCAAAGTACTATAGACTGTCCCGGAAACTCTCCTGATTGTAATCCAATTGAGAATCTATGGTCAATCTGCAAGGAATGACTTTGTAGAATGGATATATGAAGCAGTAACATGAGCACTGGATCATGTTTCATTGGAAAAATATGAAAAAAAAGTAAACAATAATGGAAATATTTTTTTGTTTCAATTAATTTGCACAAGTCTCTGTGTGTGTGTGTGTGTATATATATATACACACACACACACACAAAAAAAATAAAAAATAAACTTTTCTGTTGCTGCTGCACCTGTAGGTAGAAGAGTGCAGCTGTATGTTTACTGCCACAGATTTTCTTTTTTACACTTCTGCCTTCCCCCAGTTGGAATTTTTTCTTCTCTTTCAAAGACACTTTTTCGCTGTCTCTTTCCAAGTGGTTTCATCAGTTTGATTCAATAGAAGACAGGATTCTATGGCAAGCACCTCACTTTTTTATTTTTTAAAATGTTTTTGGGTTGTCATATATAAGGCAGCATAAATAAACTGAATAAAGAAGCAAAATGTTTAAAAAAAAAATTTATTTCTCTTTAAAAGAAGAATAGAGTAAAAAAAAAAAAATCTTTTATACAAAATTACAAAAAATGTTACGTCAATAGGCATTTTTCTTGTGGTATAATCTGTATTCCATTTAAGTTGTTGTATTTGAATTTTACAAGTGCAACATCAATGATCTCTTTTTCTAAGCAGTATATGACATTATGTGAATGTCTACAGTTTCCAAAGGGTTAATGCCATGGAAAATGCAGAGTTTCCTCTTTCATTTTTATTATCCTGTTATGACAGAATTTTAATTTGTAAATGCTTTCCTCCTCCTGGTAAAATACAGATTTAATTTTCTATAATGAACAAAAGAAAATTCATGCCAATGTTAAAAGATTTACGGTGGAAATTGTAAACAGCATAAGGCAAATTCTTGTCATAGAGCTTCTTTCCACTTCTGCTCTGGAATGTACAGACGCTGGTTTTTGGCTTGGCACTTCATAGCCTCTCACCGAAACTCGGTCTTCTTCAAACGATTGAAAACTCCGAAGTACAATGCGATCATTCAGTGGCTGAACAGGACGATAATTATTAATGATCTTGACCTTCTCAACTTTATGAGCTTCGATTTTCTTCTTGATCTCTTCATAAATCTTATCCGATTGGTGTATCGCCTCTTCGATCTGATCTAATTTCTTATCACCTTCTATCAAGTAATTGTTCTCTTCTTTTGAATTACCCGACATTTCCTTCTTTGTTTCTGATGGTTCATTGTCAGCAAGAGTTGCCTGCCCTTCAACATCTCTTTTGCTCACATGGTGATGTTTGTGATGCTGGTGTTTGTGATGCTTCTTGTTATGTTTATAATGCTGCCTATTTTGTTTAATGTGATCACGTTCTAGTATTTTGAATTGAAAATAACTGGCATCTCTTTGCATTTCAGGTATCACTTCTTCTTTGTCTTTTATAAGATGAGGTTGTTGGTCTTTAACTATTGGGATTCCTTCAGGTTTTGTGTTTGTTGCTTCAGATGTTTCTTTTGGAAGTTGGTCCAATGGTCTTGACTTGTCTGCTGCTACTTGATTATCTTTATTCAACACAACTGTGTCTTCTTTTGCACTAATAATAATCGTTTCATCCTTACCTATAACCACTTCCTCTTGTTTCATTTCCTCTTTGATCATCTCTGATGGAATTTCTGAGTTTGGAGTTTTGTGGTTATCCTCAAGATTAGGTTGGTGATCAATTTCGGTGAATTCGGTTTTGTTCTGAACATTGGCATCAATGTCTGATTTTAGAACTTCTGTCTCGTTCTTTTTCTCTTCTTTGTGACTGTCTTCCACTTTCTGGTTGTTGGCAGATGCAAGGGCAGGGGGAATTTCCTGCTCCTCAACAGCTACTTTGAAAATGGTTGCCTGTTTTTCCTCTTTCATCAATTGCTCATGATCGTGATGATGGTGTTGGTGATGAGGGTGACCTCCGACCTCTTTGTTGTAGAATAATTCCCTCATTTTTCGCATCTGTGCAAATAGAAATTATTTTTCAAATTAAATATAATCAAGCAAAAATCATATTTCTACAGCCATAAAAAAGGAAGAAAAAAAAATAATGATGAAATTTGATTTTGAATAAAAGATTTAAATTTTTATTTAAGTTTCACTTTATTTTTTTCCCCTGAGTCATGTGATTTTGGCAGTGGTTTAGTGGCAGTAATTTCTGAAAATAAACATGGTTTATGTCAGGCTCTGTTGGCATTATTGAGAAATTTTACATAAAGACAGTTGTTTAATACAAAATTTTATCCATTTGTGAACATATAATTTTTGCAAATTTTTCAAATTGTTGGTGTTTGAAATCCAGTCCCTCTCACTCTCTCTCTCTCTCTCTCTCTCTCTATATATATATATATATATATATATATACATATATATATATATATGTGAGTGTGTGTGAAAATATATAGAAAATAGGAAAGTACTTGTTATGTAAATAATCCAAAGTTCTTTAGTATTTTTGTTTTTATTTTTTAAAAAACAGTGATTGATACAAAAGTAGAGCCTAAATTATAATTATTATTATTATTTTATATATATATATATATATATATATATATATATATATATATATATATATATATATATATTTTCTGTTTATATGTTATTTTATAGATAAAACTATTTAAGTAAATGCTCTGTTTATAATAAAACAGCATTAACTACATTTACTAGCTTGAATGTCAAGAAATTTCATAGAATATATGTCCTTCAACACGAAACAAAGCCATATCCTACATGGAACCATGCATATATTCAGTTAAAAGTAAAATAAAATTCATCCCTGATAATGGCTAAAAGTATAGCTAAAAGTGCTTGGAAGACATTCGGACGATCTTTATATAATTTATGTCTTGAAAAGAAAAAAAATCATACAAATGCATGAGAAATTATATTAAAAAACTCAAGCACAGCACCTTGTCAGTCTTTTTCAATGAAAATTGCTTTTATATATATATAACAATGAATCATTCATCCAAAAAGTAGATTAGTAAAGTTAATTGTATAAAATGGCGAAATCCTTTCGTAAACAAAATTTTAAAGTTGCATTAAGCTACGAATTACTCGATGAATGGTATGATCCTTGTTTTTAATAACTTCAAGTTGTGTAAGGCCTTTTTTAATATGCAAGTACTTTCAATTGTAAATGCAGTCATCCTCAGGCATGGAAATTATTTTGTTTTTAGTAAAATCCAGGTGGCATCAGAGACGAAAAAATTAAATGCGAATATGTTTTTTTTTAAATGTGTTATTGTTAATGGATACAAACTTTTGGAGCATGCAGTCGCAACTCTATAGTTGAATTTTTTTTTTTTTTTTTTAAATTTTAGAGTGTGTGTTTTTTTACTAATGTGGTAATTTGAGAATTTTTTTTGTTGTAGGAGTTTATCAGTCAATGTGGCATGAACTAAATTGTTCAATAAATAGAGTAATATCTCAGTTGTTTTCCTGAAAATTTGCACATTGGATCAGTTCTTTTAAATCAAATATGTGGTGCAGTTCAATTTATATTACATTGAATCATTCATACAAAAAAATGTAGATTATATATATATATACATATATATATATATATATATATATATATATATATATATATATATATAAATTTTGGGTGGTTAATTTAATGACATCTCAACTCTTTCTAAGTTAACATTGAATATACGTTGTAGAGGACAAATGAATTAATTGAAATAAGTAGACATAATTATCTGTACACATTTGTATGAAAAAATAGAGCTATATAATTATTGGTTTGATTTACACGAGTGTAAAAACATATATATAGATCTGGTTTATACAACTCAAATGGCAAATAATAGGTACTGTTTACACTGGAGTGAAAAAGGTAAACATTGGTCTGGTTTACTTGTGGGTGAAAAGGTATTCATAGGTTCAATCTACACCAAAGTCAAACAGTAAACAGAGGTCTGGTTTAAATTAGAGTAAAAATTGTCACCATACAGCCAATTCACACTGGATTTAAAAAAATAGGTATAAGTCTGATTTACGTTTGGCATCTTGTAGGTGAACATTGTTCTATTTTTTATTTGGGACATTTCATCCATTTCATTGAACCGTTCTTGTAAAAACCCAACCAACTGGTTGTAATCACAATACTTTTTTTCTTTTAAGTAGGATGTAGTCTCTGTCTCTCTTGCTTTTCTCTCATACACATATAGGGACGCATGGCCCAGTGGAAAAAGACGTTGGTTAGATCCAGTGACTAGACCAAAAAAGTTGTGATTTCGGTACCAGGCCACAGCAGTGGTGTACCAAAACTTGGAGAATTGAGTTAAAGGGAAATAACTGAGACATCCAGAAGAGGCATGGTACGTGGAACTAGAACACCCCCCCCTCCAGTGGATGAAATAAAGGGTTTGATTCAAAATTCCAATCACCTGAAGAAGGCCGGTGTATACAATGGCTGAAATGTTGTAAATGTGTCACTGAAGATGTGGATAACAGTTTGAATAATGTAAATTATCTAAATAATACATATATGATATGATATATTTATGAGTAAAAGTGTTGAATATCAGAGATAGAGTATATGTAAATATAAAAGTGGACATTGAGGTTTTAAGGAAGTTATAATTATAAACCTCTGTAACATTTATAATTACAAAAATACTCATAAAATGAGAAATAGCAAAAGATGTGGATACAACAAACTTAGTAATATTTATTATCTGGTTGTTATGTTATTTTGGAGCTATAAGAGAGACAGTAATACTGAGTAAAATTGTGAGTTTGAGGACAATATGGATCAGAATCTGACAGAATGATAAGATAAAGAATAAGTGTTTCCAGTCGTTTTCATATGTTTTTTTTTTTTTATAGGTTTGTGTAATGAGTCTCCAGATAATTTACTTGCAAAATATAAGATGCTCTGGGTTTTTGTATCACAAATTTTTGTTGAGTGCTAAGAAATAAATGTATTTATTATGGCTTGAAAAAAGAAAAAGAGCTGGAATTTTTGATGACACACACATTGACACCCTGTCTGTGTTGAGGAAATCACATGTTTGTGTGTGTCAAGGAGAAAAGTGGGGGTCTATCCTCATTGGTTTAGAAAAAGTGAATTAATGAGAATTATAATTGGTATAATCATTTTATTATTATTTTTGACACTATAATTAATTTTTATCTATTTATCTTTTTTTAGACACAGCATAGTGGCAGTATATTTTTTTTATTTATGTATTTCTTTATGAACATGTCAAGGTCAACACCAAGAAGCGACAGTCTGTTTCATGCTTGAACACAATCTCCTGGCTTTTATTGCCTGAAGACAGTGTTCAAGCATGAAACAGACTTTCCTTTCATCTCTCTTTCTTTCTCTCTCTCTCTCGCTATATATATATATATATATATATATATATATATATATATATATATATGGGCGCATGACTGAGTGGTTAGAATGTTTGCTTTCTGACCATGAGACCTGGGTTTGAATTTAACCAGGGTCAGTTTGTTAGGAAGGAGACTTCCTGGTGTTATCGGTCTGGAGCAGGATGATCCCAGCATGCGGCACATTTAGAAAGTGCCTGAAAATCATACCACGGGTTGACCCAAGCCTTGTGAGTGAAATTAGGTAGACAGAACACTTGGGGCTGTCGATAGCTGTGCTAGCACAAAGTCACAAGTCATCGTCATCGAGGGTTTGAGTGTGCTGGTGGTGTTCAGATTGTTGATCATTCTAGATAACAAATAATATTACATTGAAAAGTAAAGATAAATATTTTGGGTATAAACAAATGCCTTTCTTATAAATAAGTGATGTACTTACTTATGTCAGTGGTTAATCAAAGCATTCATTAATTTTTGCCAACTTGAAAACAAAATTAAACATATCCACTTTATTTTCAATTTCTTTAACTGATTTGAGACTCTTTTGCCGTTTCATTAAACCAATGTGAACAAACCAAAGTGACTGTTTCATTAGTCATTGCTAATTCTTTCTTGCTTTCTCGTCCACAGATAGGCCGTATTTAATTCTGTGTCATTTTAGTGTATGCAAAATTCTAAACCTCTGAACCTCTCATATAATTAACCAAAACCCATGTACAAAAAAATATTTTATGCAAGAAGGTAATGAAAGCTGCCTGTTATTTTTGCTATAAAATTTCTGCTAATTGAGTTCATATTTACTTCAGAGACTACAGCAACACACACTTAATAAATTCTTCAAACATCAGCAATCATTAAAAATATTTAAATAATTTGCTGGGTTAATAAAGAATCCATAAAATGAAAAAATGCTTTTAGGAATTTTTTTTTTTTTAATTTCTAGAAAATTGTTTTAGTTTTTATTTAATTGGAAACATTTTTGTATTGTTACTGATTATACATGAAAAATCGTCTTCCTTTCCATCAATCTTCCATAGCTGAAGCTGAAAATGAAGTTATTTATGAACTGCAGAACATAATCATGGCAGGTGCTTACCTGGGTCAAATCATTTGCATTCCAGTGAGATCACAATTAACAAGAATCTACAAGATTTTCATCAAGTTCTTTTGCTTTCATTTTGTTTTGAACTGTTTTCTTTGTTTGTTTGCTTAAATTAATATGGAAGTCAAGGACGTATTTTTGACATTTGTAAACTGATATTCCTTTGCTTTGCTTGCAGCTAAAATGCAGGCAAAGTCGTGAAAGAATGATTTCTCAATTCAAAGTATATCTTTAGAAATACTTTTCTATATCTGAAAAATTTTACTTAAATTGTTACAAAATAATTATTATTTAAGATAATAATAAATTTTTAAAATTATTATTCTAGTCTTATAAGATAAAATTTATATATCCAGCCATGGACAAAATTATAGGGCAGGTGTATAAAAGCTAGAAACTCATTTATTTTATCATTTAAAGAAAAAGAACAAAGCTTTTAAAGTCAATTTAACTTATATTTAATACTTGATGTGGACTCCTTTTGCTTTTATAACTGCCTTTATGCACT